CAGCAGCGTCCCCTGCTCCATGGGGTCTGGAGCCCCTGCAGCTGCAGGCTCGGGGGCTCCGCGTTGAGCAGTGAGGAAGCGCCTCAGGTCCGTCCAGGTCGCGCCCTGGCAGGACTTCGAGGGCCCCGTGGACACAGATCCCACGATCCCGGGGAGGAAGGATGAAAACGTGGACTAAGGTAGCAACACCTGGACACCTCCCTGCTATTTCCTTATAGAACCTGCTAAGCCATCGGTTCTCAACCTGTGGGTCGCGACCCTTTGGGGGTCGAAGGACCCTTTCACAGGGTTTGCCTGAGACCATCGGAAAACATATATAATTACATATTTTTGTGATTAATCACTATGGTGTAATTATGTCCAATTTGTAACAATGAAATTGGGGGTCACCACAACATGAGGAACTGTACTAAAGGGTCGCGGCGTTAGGAAGGTTGAGAACCACCCATGACTAAGCGATCTGGGGGTTTGTCTTCGTAGTTCTCTTCGGAGAAGAGTAATTTTTAAAGGAAGACTTTTCACTGTGAACCTGCATTTAACTGCGTTACAGTTGAGATAACGTGGTCTGGAAATTTTAAGTTCTGTTGAAGTAAATTTGTTGTGTTTTTGGTAAATATCCCTTATGTGCGTGGACATGTATGTCTTTCTGGAGCAGGCATGGCCCTGCACATGTGTAGCTACGGTGACTATTTCATTCGAGTCTCCACACTTTTTCTGTGTATCAGTTACTGATGGAAATTCTTTAATATTCCCAATGTGAGATTGTTTTTCAAGTTCTAGTCACTGGGACAGTATTTGCTTTGTACATTTTGAAGCTTTATTGTTAGGTACCTACAAGGCCATGATCTTTGTACCTTTTAACTGAGTAGGCTTTCTAAGAATCTGTATCTAATACCTATGATTGTCTCTTTCAATGAATTTTGCTCTCAAATCTATCTTGTCTGATATGAATATTTCTACTTCACTTGTTTTGATTAGTAGTGGCCTATGTTAGTAATTTCTGGGTATTTTTTTAAATTAAAAACATATCTCCATGTTTCAAATCCAATAGTCTATGTCCCTTCATAATTGGTAAGTGTAATTCCTTTCCATTTGTTGATCAGGCATGTGGTTATACTCTGCATGAAGATTTTTTATCCTTTTTCTAAACATGGAGTTTATTCCTTTCTATTAGGCTTGACTCATTTGATGGTTATGCATCCTATTATTTTAATGGCTACCCATAGATTTTAATATGCTTATTAAATTCATTTTAAGTCTAAACTTTACTTAGTAACTCTTTCCTGGCCCCTGATAAAACAAAAGCCTGCACTCCCACTCTACCTCCTCCTCCTGCTGCTAAAGAAACTGCCCACACAACAGTAACTCACTGTTTCCATTCTCACTGTCTCAGGGCTGGTCCGCGGAGCTCGTCCTTCCCTCTGAGTTGAACCTCTGCACTCTCTGTCTCCCACTCTACTGTCTCCGTTTATTTCCCTCTTGTTTTAGTGTTTCTGTCTGAGAGGACCTGTGGGTGTGGACTTCACAAATCATTGTATTTCTAAAAAAAAGACTCTGCTGGTTGCAGAGTCTTAGTTGCAGAATTCGGTGCCTGTTCGCTGAGCAGTGTGATTTACTGCTTTCTCGCATCTGTGATTTGCTAACTGTCCCGTGGGCCATGGCTGCTGGGGGTGAGGTCTCTCTGGGACCCATTGGGGTTTCCTCCAATGAGTAGAAAGGGCCTCGTGTGTCTTGGTTTCTAACCCTGCCAGCGTCTTTCTTCGGCGAGATTTTTGGACGAGGCTTCATTTCTCAGGTCTCTGTTCTCTCTCAGAGCTTCCAGTGGGCAAGGCTGAGTCACTTTCTGAACCATTTCCTGCCTTCACTAGATGTTTTTCATATCTTTAAACTTCCGAGTGACATTCGAAAGGGTTTTCTCAATGTTATCAGCCAGGTCACTAATTCTGAATTCAGCTGTGGCAATTCTATCCTTTACCCTTAATGTGAGGTGTTTACTTTCTTAAAATTTAGAGAGCTGTAAATTTAATTTCTTAGATTTCTACTGGACCTATTTGAATAACTATCCTTGTCCCAGTTTTATGAAGATAACATGCTGTTTTATTGCCTTAACTTTTTTTTTGCATTTGATACGTTATCTTCCCCCAATTACATTTGACATTCAATATTATTCTGTGTTGGTTTCAGGTGTATAGCATACTGCTAGGCAATCATACGCCTTACGCAGTGCCCCCTGATATTTCCAGCACCCACCTGGCACCGTACATACTTACTGCGATATTTTCACTATATTCCCCGTGCGGAGCTCGATGTCCCCGTGACTGTTCTGTAACTGCCAATCTGTACTTCTCAATTCCTCACCCTTTCTCCCAGCCCCTCTCCCCGCCCCCCGGCAACTATCAGTCTGTTCTCTGTATTTATGAGTCTTTTTATCTTTTGTTTGTTCATTTATTTTGCTTTTTAGATTCCACATGTAAGTGAAATCATATGGCATTTGTCTTGCCCTGCTGACTTATTTACTTAGCATAATGCCCGCTAGGTCCACTCATGCTGTTACAAACGGTAAGATTTCATTCCTTTTTAGGCCAAGGCATGTTCCGTTGGAGACATGCACCATTTCTTTATCCAGCTGCCTGCTGATGGGCACTTGGGGTGCTTCCATAGCCTGGCTAGAGGTAACAGTGCTGCAATGAACATATGGGTGCGAGTATCTTTTTGAAGTTGTGCTTTGGGTTTCTTTGCATAAATACCCCAGGAGTGGATCCCTGTGCCTTACATTGTTAAAAACTCGAACCTGTATTTAAGGGTTGTCGCTAGCCTTCCAGGAGGGCAGTGTGACAGCGTGGTCATGAGCACAGACCAGAGACAGAAAGGGCCTCCTTCGAGCAATAGCTCTGCCACGAACTCTGAGCGGAGTCCGTAAGCCTCGCAGCTCGGTGCCTTTTGCAAAGTGGAGCTTAAGGGGATGACGACCATGACATGTTTGTGCCCAGGCTGTGCAGGAACTCACTGCAGACTCACTATCAGAATTCCCTCCTTTGTCTCTTTAAACTTTGTCTTCCGTGACCCGGAGGTGTCCATGGCCGTCCATTCCGTCTGGGATTTTACGTTTTGTGGAATTGCCTCCTGTGGCAGAGCTTTCTCCCACGTGTCCTGCCCCGGGTTCCGGACTCTGCCCCAGGTTTGTGCTGTGTCATGGCCAGAACCTGGGGAGCAGGGGAGGGCCTAGCTAACGCACCGGGGATCCTGAGCCCAGGCTGGAGGCAGTGGAGGAAGAGGAGGGGCTTTGGGGGCTTATTCCAGCTCACTGACCAAGAGGATGACGTGAAGATGACGATTTCTGCGATGTGCGGGTGAGAACTCCAATTGTAAGGAATTTGCTAGTGAGTGGAAGTGGAGGGCGTTGAAGCAATATGTGAGGACTAGTCTTTCGGGAAGTTTGGGGCGACTGGAGGAGAGCAGTGATATGCTGATTTGAGCCATGGTGCTGCTGAGAATTCTTTTAAAAGCATGAGTGAGAGGTGAGCGTGTCTGCGGGGTGGAGAGGAGCAGGCTGACGTCTGAAAGGAGGCTGCCCACCTGAAGCCCGTGGAAGGTCAGGACAGGCTGTGGCTCTAGGGAAGCTGTGGCGATGGGAGCAGAGGAGCGAGGACACTGTTCCCAGCTGAGGCGATGCAGGCGTGGACGCTGTGGGACTCTCACGCGCTCCCCGTGTGGTTCAGGAAGAATGGAGCTGGAGACCCCACATTTTGTTACATTGTTAGGTGTTCTGAAGTATGGACTTCCCCTTAGGGATGGCCTCCTGCATCCAGATGCCACCAGGTGCAGGACAAGGCGACCCAGGGCCGTTCCCAGAGCCTCTCGCCCTGTGAGAGGCCGGAGGAGCTGGGTCCAGACCCCACCCTTGCTGCTTCTACAAGGAGCCCTGTCTCTGGTGGGGACAGACAGTCAGCAGAGGCATGAGGTCGGTGCGACTCCCAGGCCGCGTTCCTCCTCCTCTTCCGGCCGGTGCTGCGGGAGGCCCTCCCCGGAGAGCACGCCCGGTGGCTTCTGCCGGAGGAACCTTCTGCGAGTCCCTGTCCTCGCTGCGCACACCGTCCTCCGGGCACGGGAGGGACTTCAAAAACAGCTTTTCTCGGTCTTTCTGAGCCAAATGCTTGGACCTCATTCCCTCCCGCGGAGCGTGCAGCCTCGGGGGCGGGGCTGGTCTCCGACCCCGCCCGGCTCGGTGGTTTGGCTCCCACCTGACGAAGGGCGGGGTGCCCTCCTCCCCGCCGTGTCTAACTGTGGGCTCAGGTGATCACAGCCATTTGTGCCTTCAACCCACATGTGGACGGTCAAGGACAGTTTAGCTTAAGCTTCTGGAGGCTCCACAGGGATCGCGTTTGCCTTTGGGTCCCCAAAGCCTGTAGAATGGAGGGCTTGCTCCAGTGACCCTGTTCCTGACCTCACAGGGAGATCACTCAATAATGGCAAGGCCCCACACACTGTCCACCCAAAGGCCACCTCCCAGAGGACCCGCGGGAACGCCGACCGCCTACCCGGTGGGACCCTGGCCGGGCTTGTGTAAGGTATGACTTCCCATGAAACATGGGAATCGGGTCCCCAAAGCCCCCAGCAGGTGCCTGGGCCCTGAGGGAACAGCCATCCTGGGAACCACACCTCCTCCCCCGCCTCTGAGAGACCCTCGGAGCGCCCCACCTCCACCGGGCCTCATGCTGCACTTCGGGTCTGGGCTGACCCCTCACCTCCCTCCGTGTCACCTCCCCCTGCGGGCACTGGCCTGGCTCTGGCTCCGCAGGGCAGCTCGCTCTCCCCACGGCTCTCCCCACCACCTCCCAGACCCCCAAGCGGAACTGCTCCTCACTGAGAGGTGCTTTCTCTATGTTGGTTGTTTCCTCCTGTCACATCCCGGATAAGGAGGTGCTGGGTTCCGCCTCCCAGTGCCTCTCACTTCATGAAGAGTGAGCCTCCTCGCTGGGT